CTACAGGAAAACTGCTACTTAAATCTTTCCAATTTCTTCTAAAGGAGTGATAGAAAATTGTCTGGATTGTAGAATTCATAGGTAAAGGAAAACTTACTAAATTGTAACTCAAATAAGAGAAGCCTGGAGATCAGAGTGCTCTCCGTACTAAAATCACAAGATAATGTCACAAACCACAAGATAATTGGTTTTGGTCAAGCCTCTTCATTCTAACGTCTCGGTGCTACAGATGGGTTTGTGTGTGTGTGTGTGTGTGTGTGTGTGTGTGCACACATGCGCTTGATGGTTAACCACGTTTCCCAAAGAGTGAATCAACCAGAATACCTCATTCTCTGAGCGTTTCAGTTAGTCTAAGTGTTTTTTACATGAAAGCATTGAAACGATATTTCTTTTTTAGAAAGTCTGTGACTTAGATTTTTTTAGCAGTACAACCTAGCTTTATGTATAATATGAGTTCTCATTAGTATAAATTTATTGTATAATACAAAACAAATGGGAATATTTACCAGTATATTTTTATTCAAATAATAGGGCTATGTAATGATGATGTTTGGCCTCTTGTTATAGGTAAAAGCATTTATTTAAATACAGTAGGATTGTACTATTTCAAGAAGCATTTCAAGGAGTCCCATAAAATACAGAAGCCCTTATATACTCAATTCAAGATAATGTTTTTCTTTATCCCTTAGCATCTGTTTTAAAAGCTCCCCATGGCCATCAAGAATATCCATTCTGATAGGCCTCTTCCTGTTTTGAGTTTACAAGTGTTAGCTTGCTAGAAGATAGAAAATAAATTTTCTTACCATATTTGTCTGTGAGTTATATACTTAAGAACTAATGATCAGTGCTACTTTATTAAAATGTCTTTGTGCCCAGTAGTTCTGACTTAAAAGGCTGATGTATACTTTTGCATCCTGAAAATATCGAAGACAAGCTATACCAAAAAGTACATTTATCTGAGAAGAAAAATGATGGTAGCATACTATAAACCATACTGGAACATCTGAAAAAAAAAAAAAACTTAAGCTATCAATATCAGCTTAAGTGTTCATGAGGACTATCAGTATTCGTGAGGATATAAGCAAATGAAACCCTTGGACATTGCTCATGGAAATGTAAATTGGAAAACCACTTTGAGAAATCGATACATTTTCCACTGAAGCTGAGCATATCCATTCTCTATAACCCAATACTTCCACCCAACAAAAACATATATGAGTTCCAAAAGTCATGGGCATATTCATAGTGATATTACTCATAATAGCCCCACACTGAAAACAACAGAATTGTAGAAATGATAAATTGTGAAAATTATAGGATAGAATACTGTTGTGGTGATGGAAGAGAATAAAATACTGCTGCCTACCACATGGCAAACCTCTCACAGAGATAATGTTGAGCCAAGAAGCCAGAGACAACAGAATATGTATTGTATGATTCCTTTTCTATAAACAGGCAAACTGAGTGATAGAAGAGTTTGGAATAGAGGCTGCCTTTGCAGTAAGAAAGTCACGTCCAGAACAAGGCATTGGGAAGCTTTAGAAGTGTGGGTGGTTTAAATTCTATGTTCACTTTGTAACAGTTCATTAGGATCTGCACTTACAGTGTATGAACTTTATTACATTATACTGGAATTTGAAAACAGACCAAAAAAAAAAAAAAAAACAAGAAAATGGTTGCAGATTTATTGGGGAACAAAAGCGTGTGCTTCACCTTCACTCACAGCACAAATCTTGCTAAGTCCTTTTCTTTTATTAGCATGGATAGTGGGGACAGTCCCCATGCTAGACAGTACTTAATCATGATAGTCACTGTAAGTAAGGAAGTAGAGAGGAATCTATTTTAAATTCTGTAACCAGCTTACCAAGGGCAATAAGGAAAATATGTCTTAAACCGGAACCTCTTTGGACATTTTTGTAAAGTGTTAATTACTAGCACGGATAGCAAAGAAAGATTCCACAGTGCTGCTCCACTCCTGTAACCAAGTTTCCCCAGGTCTCAGCTGCTCTTCATCACTCTGCTGCCTGCCCTCAGCATCCCAGATCTATGCCACATATAATTCCCTTAGATGCCTTGCGTCTGGTCCACCAATTCTGGACCCTGTTACTGATACAGAATTGATGTCAAAAGTCAGGATTCCCCAGTCCTTCCACAAGAAATTGTTTGTCTACTTCATAGTCTTGAAGAGCTCCCTCACATTAAAGTAGCCTTGAAAGTTGATAATTAGAGAGAACAATAAAACCTCTGCCTTAAAAATCTACTAAAGATAGAAAAATTAAAAAAAAATATTTTCCTGGTAAATAGTAAATTTCTTACTATAGTTTAGTCAAAAACAGCAATATCTAAATCAGTGAAACATAATTACGGAGACCACTTTATTACAATGTGATCTTTATAAATAGATATATTAGTTTATTGTTATAGTGCTGGGTAATATTCATTGTCAGGATGGGCCAGGTTATCATTCACCTACTGAAAAACTCATAGCTGCATCTAAATTTTGGCAAGAATGCATAAAACTGTGATAAAAACATATATGGATTTTTTCATGTAGAACTTAAATTTTTAACTCATTTGTAAAAGTATTAAGGTACACAATGGCTGGATTGTATGTTAAGAGTATGTTTTGTAAGAAATAGTTAAAACTGTCTTCCAAAGTAGCTGTAGCATTTTTAATTCCCAGGAGCAGTGAGAGTTCCTTTTGTTCTGCATTCTTCTCAGCATTTAGTGTTGTCAGTTTTGGATTCTGGCCATTCTAGTACATGTGTAGTGATATAGCATACACGTTTTAATTAGAAACTGCCTAGTAACATATGATACTGAACATCTTTGTACATACGTATGTGCCATCAGTATGTCTGCTTTAATGAGGTTCCTGCTCAAGTCTATTGCCCATTTTTAAAATCTTTTTTAAATGTTTTTAGAGTTCTTTATATAATATGGATAACTGTTCTTTATGAAAGTTACTATAACTGAATACAGATATATTATTATAAACATGAAATAAAAGAGGAAATCTCCTTAGTCATCAGTGTAAAGATGGTAACTTCAGTGGGCAATCAATTCCTGGATTGTGGTATGTGGTATGTGGCATGTGCTCCTTGGGAATGTGCTTCCCAGATGCATATTCGTGGCAAGAACTCCATGATCTCACAGGGAAATTGGGCCACATTAGCACATAGCTGCTATCATGTAAAACTTGCTAAGATGTACAGCTGCGTCTAGAATCCTCTTCTGCTGGTTTGTGGATCAGGCAGGCATCCTTGACCACTGTGCCATCCCTCACAAGCCTCCTCTCTGTAGCAGAGAGGATCCAACCCCTGTTTCCTCTTTCCTATCATTCTTGGTGTCTGAAATGGATAATCCCCAAGACTTGCAGAATAATTTATTCTGGGAAATGCTATTCTGGGTAACATCTCGGTACCTTCTAGTCCTGACATTCTGTGATTTTTGGAGGTACCATGCTGGGGAGCACTGCCTTTTAATGCCTGTCATAAATGGAGACAGACTCTCACAGACTAGTCACCTGGGAAAATAAGGAATAAAAGGACAAAAGAACATGGTAATAATGTTTATCTGCCATCAAATCAACACGAAAGCAGAATAACTGGGCTGAGTTTAAGAAGAGTATGGGATTTGTATTGGAATAAAACTATATGACATATTAGGTAACATATGTGCCATTGTTACTGGTTTTTGTTTTGTTTTGTTTTGTTTTGTTTTGTTTTGTTTGCGGAACAAGGGATTGAACTCAGACCTTTGCACTTGCCAGGGAAGCACTTATTCTACTGAGCCATCTCCCTGGCCCCATTGTTACTGTTAAGCGCTGACTTTTGTAAAGTTTCATAAACACATTGATAAGGCTGTGATCCCGAGGACTCCCTACCTAATCTTACTAGATGTTACATGGCTTAACTAACTCTATTAACAAGTTATGCTTTCACTACTGCAGGGGCTATACATTAAGCCATTTTGTGGGATTTTTAAAGTGCAGATCATAGTGTAGTAGAAATCAGTTTAAATCCCATCCTCTACTATAGAAAAACTACCAAATATAAAATACTAAGATATGAAAGAGCTGTAATTCCACCATTTCCCATATTTCCGTGTTTGTAAAAACAGGGTATACAGTATCTTATAATCCTATTTTCATGCATAAAAATATTTTAGCTATTTTTCCCAGGTCTTAACATAAATATAGTCATTGGCTATGATAAATATGCTCTGATTGGGGTATTATAGTTCTTTATCATTTAACTATCCCCTCAGTCTACCTGAAAATGATTGCAAATTATTCTGGCAAAATATTATGTACCTGTGGATAAGAAATACAGAGGATTTTTGAATACAGAAGATCAGAGGGGCCAGGGAGATGGCTCAGTAGGATAAGTGCTTGGCTGGCAAACTCAAGGATCTGAGTTCAATCCCCGGTTCTGAAAAAAAAAAAAAAAAAGAAGAAGATCAGAAAAGTGTGTAGGAACAAAATGTCCCCTGTCCTATTGTTCATAGCTGTTTTCATTCGCACACTAAATCAGAGAACTGGAATAGCAAATTTCTTTCTAAAGAAAGTTCTGAAGATCGTATTTTCTCTGGGCTTGCAGACAATGTTAAGAAGTTCAACCTGATTATTTTTATACCTAATAAATTTTCTACAAACACTGTAACAGAAAATCCATAACAAATGCATTATCATTACATTTCCAGATATTGAGCTTTTCTCCAGGGGTTCTTTTGCATACTGTCTTCCTCTTCATGTGAACTTCAAATGAGTTCATTTTAGTTGTTCATATGTTAAAACAATTAAAACTGGCAAAACCCACCCAAAGGACATTTCTTTGTCACCAGAGCAGAAACTGGTCCATTTATGTCACTGAGTTCATGCAAAACCATCACTTACTGAAAGAATCCCTGGTATGTTTCCTGTTATTCCAGTCTAGTCTGTCAAATATCCTGCAGAACTAATTAAAGACCTGAATGTATGGGTTTGTGTGTTATTGTAGGCCAAAGGTAAAGAAAGACAATGGCTAAGACACCAAGCTACCGGGGAACTAGATGATGCCAAGATCATCGAGGGTTTGACCGGAGAAAAAGCCATCTACAAACGTCGGGGTGAGCTGGAGCCACAAGTAAGTATTGAACTAGTGGTCTCAGGTATACATAGTTCAGCCTTCTGTACAGGAATGTTTCTTGAATATGCCCAAACACCATAAATCCTGAATATAGAGACCTAGGAAGTAAAACAGGGAGAGGGAAAAGGGGTGAGGTAGGGGAGAGAGAGAAAGCATAAATATTACACTATTTATTATACAAATGAAGGTTTTGGAAAGAAACATAATGCACTTTCAAGTTCCCTGATTTAAGGAGTACTCAAGACAAATACTGTTTACAAAGGTAGTGGTGGGGCGTAGGAAAGCCCAGAACATTCAGTGCCAGCAATAGCAAGTCCTCACATACCCAAGATCTAACAGGAAAGAGAAGGACATCCTGAAGTGCTGATGTTTGTTAGAGGGAGAGCTAACCTCAGGGTTCTAGCAGAGAAGAGTCTGAAGAACAAGTAATCCAACCTCTGCCTATGATCTGCTGGTACATCCCACAACGAGAACCTTCTGGAAGCAGGCAGCTAAGAGAGCTGCCATGTGACACATAAAGATCCACTCCCAGGACACAAAGCTGTTGCCCTAGGGGCAAAACTTAAGACATCTTATTGTCTATGACTTCCAAAGGATTCATCAGGTGACCACAGTAAAGCAATCTTGGTGGTTTTCTACTGTTTAGTAACTTTAACCTGCTATATCACTTGGTAACTTTAAAGTCATATGACTTAAGACAATTTTAGGAAGTAAGAAATTACCCCATACACAACTCTAGTTGATGTAAATAAGGTTAGAGACAGCAATAATTTTAAAAGATTTGCTGTATTATGGCCAAAGACTGAAATATTGAGTCCCTTGGACAACTCAGTGAGATCCTATAGCTCTTAATACCCAGACATGCCAAGTAGCCACTGAGTGCTGGGGACACAGTGACTGGCCAGGACAGGGACAGTCACTCTATTTAAATGTTTACTCAGAGAGGATCTGATGGTCATTAGCAGAGTTTTTATTTCTGTGTCATGGTGTGAGTCAGCTGCTTTCTTTACTGACTCACTGTGGTCAAGGAATGTGTTTGGGTGCATCTGAAATTGTGAGCAGTCATGGAAGCGTTTGTGGCACTGTTGGCAAACTCAGCAAGGTTTTCAGATATATACTGAACTGGCCTTGAGTCATTATCCTCTAGTGTGGCATTTTGTGAAATTACTGGCTCTGCTCATTGTTGTTCATGCATGTCAACAACTACAAAGTGACAGAACAATCTATAGGTTTTTTTGTTTTGTCGGTGAAACTGACAAATAAGCTTGTCTTAAGATCCATACATGGCATGCAGCAGTCCAAAATCAAAATGAATCCTCCTAAGTTTTAAATTTTAATTGACAGTTTCCAGAAAGCAAATTGACACCACTTTCAAGTTTGAACTGCCAAGAAAAGAAAAAAAAAGAAGCAGTTCAGTAACTGGAAGGAAAAGAAAACTGAAAGCTTACTAAAGACAAAAGACATTTTAAAAATATTTTCCTTAAGTTCTTTGCCAACTGCCTTCTCCAATAACCTTGTTTGAGAAATCTGACATTTTTTATAGCCTGTGTGGAAAATGGTTTTCAAGTGACTACATAACAGGTACAAGTAAAATTGATGCAGGCTTCCCTCCAAAATCACAGAAACTTATTTGAATCACTGACTCTGAGGCATGCAGTGAAAGTGACATGTTGGGCTTTGTATCTTTGCAGACTATTATTTTTAAACATCACACTATGTTTAAGGCATCAGCCTCTACAAGGCCACTTTACTAGACTACACTGGATCTTGAAAGCAGTATATTGCCAAGCAAATCTTTTCCATCTGGCCCTGACTACCAGCACAAGTCTGGAATTCTACTTGGCTGAAATGCAGTCTGTAGCCACCTCTCTACCTTGCAGTACTGCACCATGAAGGGCTAGGCCTCATGGATGACAGCCTGCAGCTCGTGTGAGTGTCCCTGACTGCAGCCATTGATGGGTTCACAGACTTGCTGTCATTCTCTCCCTCAGTTGGGCAGCCCACAACAGAAACCCAAGCGTCTGCGCCTGGTGGTGGATGTGTCTGGCAGCATGTACCGCTTCAATGGGGTGGATGGCCGGCTGGAGCGCTCTATGGAGGCTGTGTGTATGGTCATGGAAGCCTTCGAGCACTACGAGGAGAAGTTCAAGGTAATGGCATGAACTCAAAAGGCTGAGAGGTGTCTTCAGTCCTACCTGTCCAAGAGAGAGCACTGAGGTAGGGCCTAATGATAGATGGGTGGATGCAGATGCAATCCAGAGCAGACAGAGATCTCCATCCTCTCACTAGCTCACTTATTCTGTGCAAAGTGAGCTTTTCGTTTCATGTGTTCTAATGATACCATAACTTTAAAGACTGCTACCTCTAATTACCACAGAAGAAAGCACTTTACAGGTTGTATGTTAACCCTAAAATTGAGAAAGAAATAATGATAACTTAGAAGTTTCAAAATCTGTTCCAAGACTTCTCAGAGTCCCTTGTTGGGGTTTATATCTTTCCGGATTATTATTTTTAAACATCATACTATGTTTAAAGCATCAGCCCCTACAAGGCTACTTTACTAGACCTCATTGGACCTTCAAAGAGCTATATTCCAAAGAGCATATACAGAATATAGTTCTCTATATTTCATGTGAACTATGTTCCTCATCCTAATGTCCTGTATCCATCCACTGCTGTCCTATTGCAACCAGGCAGTCATCCAAGGCTTGAGCAAACCTACAAAGTGTGCTGCTCCCTGCCTTGCCTTGCCTTCCCTTTCCATGTGGGCCATGACTACACAATAATGTATGTCTCCCCATCTGATGATGAAGTTGACCATTCGTCTTCATTTAAATCTCTCATTTAAACTGTTTGCAATTTGCTCTTGCTCATCTTGCTATACAACTTCCATCTCAGAGCTCTGAACATAAAGCTGGGATCTCCCACACTGCTGTGTTATAACACAGTATGAGGTACAAATCAGCCACAGAGGGCACCTGCACCCTGACCTTTATCAGAGCAAATAACTTTGGACAGAGTTACATGCCACATGATATTATCAGACATTCCATGGAGAGAAATGATGTATGTACAGATGTGTCTGTGTGTGTGTAAAGGACACACAATCTATCCATAGGTGTTCTAGATTTTATTATGGATCATACATGTCTGTCAGGAATAAGCAGATTCATATTTTGGTTTAGGTTTCCATCCTACCTGTTTCTCACCTGAGTTATGGCTCTGTATTATGCTGCATATAGTAAGAAACAGACTGGAAAAAAATCAGTTCCTTCACTTAGGCTCATTGCTAATGATCCCAGCCACCAACTCTCTCAGGATCCCTTTTGTGAAGTTCTACGTGAGAAACTCCTTCCTGAATTAAGTGGTAGGTGAGGGGAAGATTGCAGCAGTGAGTGCTGTGGATTTCCAGGCTCTGCATATGTACAGAATTCAAAGACAAATAGGACATGAACTCTTTTTGGCATAGCTGTTCCCCTTGAAGAAGTAGACTGTGTCTCCCCTTGTGCTTGATGACAACCTTGGCACTCTTCAAGGTTCCCTCTTAGTCCTAGTTACCAAGAAGCTACAGCCAAAACCAAGGGCCAACTATGAGGACTTTGTTACATCTCATGGCCTAAAGGTGAGGTGAGCATTCAGGATTTTCTTTCCCTTTACCCTCCCCTATCTCATATGTAAATTTGTTTTAATTTTTAATTTTTACCATTTTATGGATCAAGGGAAAGTGTGGAAGATATCTATCATTAATTATGTTAGGTCTTTTCTAGTATGTGGCTGAGAATAATTTCTTAAATCACTTGAGCCATGGATGACCAATCATCCATCATCAGTACACATAATTGTATCCACCTAGTGTTCAAAGTCCTTTGGATTTTACCTTCCCATGATATCCACTCTATTGCCAGGGCACCAACAGGCCTTCCCTCCACCATGGCACTTAGAGCCGCATCTTCCTCCTACCACCCTTACCACATGTGTCTGATTTGAGTGGTTGCAGACCATCCTTCCTGCTAGAGCTCCCCAAGCTTCCTCAGAGGAGGTCAGAAGATGAGATGAGCTACTTACATTTATTGAGAGGTTTTTCTTTTTACATTTACATGTTTTGGAGTAGGAGAATGAGTGTCTATAGTACCAAATGTAAACTGTACAAAAGGAGGAAGAGTGAAGAATGAGTCTCCGTCCCCATTTAGTCCCCAGCTCCCCTCTTTGGTACCTGCTGCTGCTGATGGATTTCTTGGTCTCTTCTCAGAGATATTTGGTGCATACACATCAGTGGCTGTATACAATGTGCTTTACTCTATGTCCTCATGTTATATGATCATATTCAACTTCATCTCTCTGCTTTCATTTTCTCATTTGTAAAAGACATGTAAGGACTAGGAATAGCTAACAAGAGGATGTAATTTACTCAGAAAAATACAATAATGCATGAACAAATGACAGTTTGAGGAGCTCTTAGTGAAAACTTTAAGGTGTCTAGTCTATATTTCCTTGAACCTTTGAAGAAGCCTTTGGCCGTGTGGTGATTAGACACTCCTTGCCTCTCTTGGCACCTGTTCTGTGTTTTCTTTGGCAGAGGCTCAGCTGCTGAGCTGGGGATCAGTACAACCTGGGTTCAGGAGGCCCTTTTGGAAACTGCCTCTTCTTTTTAGTCTGTATTACCTTGAATCATGCCAAACCACAGGGACCCTTGAGCCAAATTTACTGAGAGGGAAGGTAATTTAGTGCTAAGAGATATTTCTAAGCCATTTGGAGTTTAAAGTTTCTCATAATCACCTGCCAACAGAATTTGATTATTCCCAAGTACAGCAGCCATTTGTTACTTAAGACAAAAGTAATATGATTTGCTTATAACCAGCACAAATTCTCCTAATCTTAGAATAATTTTTAATGTTCATGTAATACATAAACATTACAATGAGAAGCAGAATACTAATTTTAAGAGCCATTTTTTTTAATTCAGGAAGACTTTCTCCCTTTATCTTTATTCCAATTTTTCAAACATCTGAGACTCCTTTTACAGTCATCTTAAAATAGGCCTCCTTCTAAAGACTTCTAATGCCTTGTGTTTTTTTTCTTCAAAGTATATAATAGCACCAAAAGTTTGTATTCTTTTTTTTTTTAGCTTCATAGTGGACTTTATTGAGATAAGTTAGTGTAAAAAACATTCAAATTCATAAAATTTAAATGAGACAGCAAAATCATAACTTGTAGTAATTGCTATAGTAATCACAAATAAGGTAAGGACTAAACTACTGCCTAAGCAAAAACTACTCTGTCAGGCTTCACCTGCAAGCTCAAGGTAGGAAGCGCTATAATCATTAGAGTGAGCCCAGTGATAAAATTTGCCTTTGGAGCCAGAAGAACACACAAGGTCTGGCTATAGCATCACAACCGCCACCCAAGAAGAGCAACTTTAGAAATGTCCGGCAGCAGAGTACATTAGTAATTGTAGCCATGCATTATAACTCTGATTTCATTTCATTAAGAGTAATCAGTTTTTTTAAGGTATTTTATGTTACTGTTGCACATAGTTTATCCCTTTGAAGGCCTGCCTCTCTAGAACATTCCTTTCCCAAAGACTGTCTCCTAAGATGCCCAGGTCACCTGGAGTCATTCAGCACTGCATGCCACCCTGGGCTGGTGGGACCTTCACTGCTGAGCATGTAGCCCAGCAGGGTTCAGAGTGCTACTGACAAGTGAGTGTGGAATTCTCTTTGGTTGTGCAACTTTTATATTTAAAAAATATATATAGCTGGAAACATATTTCTAAATTCTAAAGGCATTTTGTGACCAACTTAGAAATATGCAATGTCTTGCAGAATTCATCATCAGGCTGGCTTCAGGTCTACTGCCTTATCTGTTGGGGCTAGCATTAGCGTTAGGTTTCCTACTTAGCAAAGGCATTAGGTCCAGAAAAGTAAGTGATATTGAGGTGCTCAGAGCGGGCAACTGGTGAGCCTGGATTCAAATATTCTCCATGGCTTTGAACTCACTGAGTGCCTGCACAGGCTTCATGTGCTTCTGTGACACCCCCTTGATCTTGTTTGTGTCTCATATTGCTTCTCTCTCTTCACCAATGGCTTCTTCTCAGGTGCCTTCATCTTCCATGACACAGCAGGAAGGTTGAGGGAAATCATACCCTGACACTTTTGGTATTTGGTGGAGGCAACATAGGAAACCTTTACTCTCTGTACCATAGTATTCATCAAGTTCTTAGCTGCCTGAGTCAGGAACATGGTGCTGTCTATCCCTGAGACCAGGAGCTCTCCACCAAGGTTCTACATCTCAGCCTTGACCTTGCTGCGTATATTGAGCTGGTGGCAGTAGATTGGCTATACGCTACAGATGTGCTAGCAGGCCCTGCTTGCAGGCTGAGTCTGGGCAGTGGTCCGCAAAGTTTGGCCAAGTTTATCCATCCTTGATCCTGCCTCAGCAATTTTCCTGGCAGTGCTGATCACATCTGATGTGTTTCTGAGTGGCCCTTTACCCCAGGTGAAGTCCATCATTTTCATCATAATCATGCACATCTGTTTGGCCAGCATGATGATGTCATTGCCACTGTCATCCCATTTGGACACTTCAGCATCCAGCTTGCTCTTTTCTTTCTGGAAGCTGGCCACCTGTTCTGCAATCTTTGCTTTTTGCTCCTGGGGAAGCTGAGCCCATGATTACCTGGGCACTCTGGCCAGCTATGAGCTGATCATTCCATCTGAACACTTGTCCTACTTCTGACATCGAAGTCTTCTGTCTCAAAGTCAGAGTCATCCAGTTCCTCAGGGGTCCTTGTCATCAGCACTGCTTTCCTGATGTCCCAGATGCCATCATACACAGAGGCATCAATAAACTCATTCTCGTCCATGGGCCGTGCAGGATCTGAGCTGAGGGATTGCATGACTGCTTCCACTTGTTCAGTGAAATGGGGCATGACTGTGTTGGACAACAGCTTGGTGGCCTCCAGAACTTTCTCTGTGTGGACCCCTGGCTCATAGTTGTACATCTCTGAGGTTACTACGTGAATGACTTGGGCTGCCCGGCCTCGAATTGCACCAGCCGTATGATGTAGTCCATCCACATCTTTCTCTTGGAGAACAATAACACATTTATTCACATCTTCCAGAATTTGATTCTCTGAAACAGTCAAGAAGTC